AACACTCCCCAATGCTGGGAGGAGTGGAGGCTGCTGGCTCTCGCTGCAGCGTTGAGGAAGTGACTCCCAGTGTGTCTGCTCTTACCAGCCTGGCCGTGCCCAGCCCCTTTGCTCTGGCAGGACTCTTCTGGCATCCTGGGGGGCAGCAGGAAGAGTGTGAGCAGCAGGTGGAGGGAGGTCATCCTGCCCCTCTGCTCTGCCCTGGGGAGGCCCCATCTGGAGCACTGGGTCCAGTTCTGGGCTCCCCAGTTCCAGAAGGACAGGGAACTGCTGGAGAGGGGACAGCAGAGGCTACAGAGATGATGAGGGGCCTGGAGCATCTCTCTGATGAGGAGAGGCTGAGGGACTTGGGTCTTTTTAGTCTGGAGAAAAGAAGGCTGAGGGGGATGTGATCAACACCTATAAATACTGAAAGGGTGGGTGTCAGGAGGATGGGGCCAGGCTTTTCTCAGTGGTGCCCAGGGACAGGACAAGAGGGAACACACACAAACTGAAACAGAGGAAGTTCCACCTAAACTTGAGGAGGAACTTCTTTGCTGTGAGGGTGGCAGAGCCCTGGCAGAGGCTGCCCAGAGAGGTGGTGGAGTCTCCTTCTCTGGAGACATTCAAACCCACCTGGACACGTTCCTGTGGGACCTGCTCTGGGTGGACCTGCTCTGGCAGGGGGTTGGACTGGGTGATCTCCAGAGGTCCCTTCCAACCCCATAGCATTCTGTGATTCTGTTGTAAGTATGTTTAGGCTGTATTTACAATTAGGAAGCCAGTCAGGTATTCCACATATCAGTGATGAGTAGCTGAGTATTGAGATGGTTTGAAACTAACTTTGTTTTTTTAATCCATGGATCACAAAATGTGTGTACAAATCACAAAATCACAGTTTTAAGTCTTCATAATTCTTGAACTGTTTCTCTCTTCCCCATGCACGTTTTAGCACTCATGTTGCAGCAACAGAATTAGAAGTAGAGGAGCATGATTTTTTGTCACAAGCTGACTGCTGGCTAGGTGTGAGTCGCTGAATTTTGCCAGTCCTTGCCCTTCCTTGTTACTTTTTTAATTTAATGTGGAAGTGGCTTCTGGCCGAATATTTTCAACAGTCCATTTATAGCCAATAGCTGAAGAGAATCCTTGGAACCAGAAAAGGGTGGTTTAGTCAGTAGAGGGCTCTCTATCCTCTAATAATAAACAGTGATCCTTGAAAATACAGAAACGAATGGGACTGGAGTTAGGAATCTGTGCAAGATTTCGTAGGCCAGTTATTTTCTTCAGTTTTCTCTTCTGTGCTTTAATTTACTGTAAAGGGAGAGAATCTCTATTACTTCACCAGGTGTTTGGAGAATAAGAACTTTCTGATCATCTGGCCTGTACAGAGGTGTGAAATAACACAAATCTGTCTGATGTAAAGTCTGAACTATTGGAAAGATGGTCATATTTTGAGAGATCTATTTCACGTGCTCAAAAACATTTTACGTTTACGTGATACTGATTTACTTATTGGGGAAGTTCACTGTCTTGCTGTCCCTGAAAAATGATGGATGGGGAAAGATCCGCATCTAGATTTAGTTCCAAGCTTTCTGACATCATTTTAATGTATGTATATATGTATACACAATGGCTATGGATCAGATGATGTAATGGGTACGAAATATCTTTAATTTTGCAAAACATGGGGTCCATTCCAGGTGCTGACATCGGTCTTGTACGTTAAGTCAATTAAATCACTTAGAAGAGCAGGGACTGGTTTTAAGGCTGCCTTGTGATTCCATGTGCAGGCCTTAATTTTGGGTTCTTTCATGTGACTTCTGTCATTAGTGAATGCACGAGAATCGATCGTTACCATTATAGTCTCTGCTCTGTATATCTTAATGGCTTTTTCTAAATTTAAGCTTTTGTTTTTAAATGGTAACATGTTGATTAGAAATACTGTTATATTTGTAATTTATTTTGTAAGGAACAGTAGCTTCAGATGAAATACGTCTTAAATCATTAAATATATGTGCACATGAGAGTACAGTTTTATACTTACATGTTGCATATCTTTATATTATCTCTACACAAGGTAAGCTTCAGGGTCTATTTAGTAATTTTCAAATCTGCTGAAGTGAGTGTATAAGATGATTTGCATAAATATTTTGACTACATGAAGGATGGACTCCTTTGACAATTTTTTATTCCATAGATATTCAAAACATGAAAAAGCAGTTGCTCTATTTCTACAAGCATATATATATATATGTGTAATGCTTTTCAATTGCAGACTGTGGTGTAGACGTTTGTACTTAATTTTGTCCTATTTATATGAAAAAAAGAGGAAAAAAAAAAAAAAGAAAAAAAAAAACCAAAACCATACAAATATCTTGCAATTTAACATCAGGGGTGCTCTGACAGAGTGGTACCTACAGATGCTGCTCCCTTATGACTTTTAAGTCGCCCAGAGCTCACACAAGATTGATTCAGTTACTCAGTAGCATACTTAATTCCAAATTTAAGTAACATCCCTCTGGTACCTGTGTTTTGATTTAGGTCATGGCCCAGTAGTTCGTGATGCAAATGCCAGAATCCAGAGCTACATTTCTCACCGAAACGCACGTGAGCAGCAAATTCTAAATGTTTTCCAGAAGAATGTTGGAAAATCATATACGTCCTCGGAGCTTGTAAAGATAGTCTACCAGGTAATTGCTGATTAAAAGTTTTTTAGATCAAACTAAAGAAAATTGAGGTTGTGTTCATAAAATTTATCTTACAGTTCAAGTATTTGAGTGATGACCGTGGTGGCTTTTTACAAGAGGGAAAAAAAAAAAGGAAAATATTTCTGCTTGTTCAGAATTCATATATGACTGTGCATTTAAATTATATTGTTTGAGAGCTTCACTGGAGTGGGGCCCAAATGATTCTTACAAACTTCTTGTTTCAATATCTACGTGGTCCTTAAAAACAGTTTCCTAGTATCAAGTAAAAATTAAAGTTGTTTTGTCTTCCTGAAGCTGTTATATTTTTTAAACTTGTATACTCATTTACAGATATCGATTGTTAAAGCATATTTAAATCCCTGCAAATATTGTCATGGAATAGAAGGGATAGGTATCTTGTATACTCATTTACAGATACCGATCGTTAAAGGATATTTAAATCCCTGCTAATATTGTCATGGAATAGAAGGGATAGGTATCTGTAGAGAAATGTGTCTTTAAATTTGTCTTTAAAAATGTTCTACTGGGCTGACAACCCAGTGCAGACCAAGCTCAGAAGGGCACAGTCTTGTTAGTGTTGGCCAAAGTTTGCGTAATACAAATGGAGAATGCAAGAAAAATGAGGAAAGTAAACAAAAAATGTGGTTTTAGACTACTAGTTTAACTGGTGCAAAATTGATTTACTCATTTCAGTTTGTCATTATATGTAACGAACTGAATGTTCAACTTAGCAATTGAGAAGAGGAAAATCTATGTTAATAAACCCTGAGTTCCTTATTGACAAAATAATTGGGAGATATTTAAACAAAATGCATATTTATGTTCCCATTAGGAGATCCCTGAAAATTTACTTCTAGCAGCAGAAAGTAACCTCCTAGTCCACTTGAAGAAGTTGGAAAAAGAAGGAAAAGTGTGTAAGTTGTGGATGGAGGGGTGGATGGAGGGTCATTCATTTTGATTTTTTATATACTGTTTCTCATTGCGTTTTGCTGCATTATTTCCAGGGGGGAAAAAAATACCTGAAATAAGTTGCAGCAGCTGCCCTTCAGCCAACTTGAAATAGAATTATATACAAAAAGCCTGTGGTTATGCAGTATTTCCAAACTCTTAGAAAGTCTTTTATAAAGTATTTGTGATGTGCTTAGAGCATTTTGCTGCATTATTTCCAGGGGGAAAAATACCTGAAATTAGTTGCAGCAGCTGCCCTTCAGCCAACTTGAAATAGAATTATATACAAAAAGCCTGTGGTTATGCAGTATTTCCAAACTCTTAGAAAGTCTTTTATAAAGTATTTGTGATGTGCTTAGAGCACAGATTACTGCAAGGCATATACCTTTACATTTTTATTAAAATAAATTTTATTTTATTAAAACATGCCATGGAATAAATAGAATCATTGAATTGCCTGGGTTGGAAGGTAGAGCACAGATTACTGCAAGGCATATACCTTTATGTTTTTATTTAAAACATGCCGTGGAATAAATAGAATCATAGAATTGCCTGGGTTGGAAGGGACCTTTCAGATCATTGAGTCCAACCATCAACCCAACACTGACACCAAACCCATCACTAACCCATGTCTCTAAGCACTATGGCTGCCCGGCTTTGAAATCCCTCCAGAGATGGTGACTCCACCACTGCCCTGGGCAGCCCCTTCCAAGGCTTAATGACCCTTTCTGTGTCAAAATTGTTCCTAATCTCCAATCTGAACCTCCCCTGGTGCAACTTGAGGCCGTTTCCTCTCATCCCATGGCCTGTTCCTTGGGAGAAGAGACCGACCCCCCCTGGCTACCCCCTCCTTTCAGGGAGTTGGAGAGAGCCAGAAGGTCTCCCCTCAGCCTCCTTTTCTCCAGCTGAACACCCCCAGCTCCCTCATTGCCCTTCTTTGGACCCATTCCAGCCCCTCAATGGCTTTTTTGTGGTGAGGGGCCCAAAACTGGATACATGACTCCAGATGGGGTCTCACCAGTGCCCCAGTACAGGGGGACATAATCACAGAGTCTTCTAGGTTGGAAGGGGCCTTAAAGATCATCTTGTCCAACCGTCAACGTAACTGACAAAAATAGACACCCACACAACAAACAAGGAGCATCATCACTAAACCATACCTCCCAGCACTACATCAACCCGTCTTTTGAACACCTCCAGGGATGGGGCCTCAACCACCTCCCTGG